TGTTTAAGAAAAAAGTTCAGTAATACGGTGTTCATAGATTAAAAAATCTTGTTAAAATCAGTTGGATTAAATTTTGGCAAGATTTATGTAAAAATTGGGTCATACAATATTTGTACCTCATCATGATCTGAATCTCACGATATCTTGACCAGACTTGGTCCTCGAAATACAAGATAAGTTATTCTTTATGATAGGTCATCAGAAAATCAATTTTGATGAACTAATTTTCCGAAACTCTATTTCGGATAGTGTGAAAATTAAATTCGTCCTTGTATATTTGGGACAAAAAGAAACAATGAGGGACAGTTTTCAGGGCTTTCTTTCGACTCTTGATAGGGTTACGTATAGTCCCGCCTTAAGTTTTCTTCCTCTCTTTCGCTGTACTTATTTTCGCTTTGAATACATTGTCATATGTAGGAAGAATGCTAAAGTTACAGATACCTGTGATGCAGGATCTTCATGTGAGGACATTCTAATACTAGTATTCAAAAATGGCATCGAAATCATTGAAAGACGAGCAAATCCAATCTATCAACAGCATCATCGGATGTCCTGGATTCACAGAATGGCAAACCTCCGTTATCCCCACACATGACGTTTGCTTGGACGACTTCATCTGCACAATACATGAGTTACTCCGAACACGTGTAATTTGCTATGTTTTGATTCAAACTTTATATCATGTTTACATTTGATACTTGGCCTTATTTTGTAAGACAAATTACTATATATATACTGATTATACTTCCTTGTTATTGCACAAATTTAATGACTAATGTGGAATGAGATTATATATATATCATAGAATGCAATATGAATTTAGATGATTGAGAAAGTAAATTGCGAAATAACAATATGTTAAATATTTTTTTTTAAAAAAATGGTAAAATATGACAGTACAAAGGAATATTATTGAAAAGTAAAGGCAACAAGCAAATGCAAGTTGCTAAAGTTCTATATGCAAATAAATAATTTTGAAAAGTAAAAGCGATGTGCTTTTGTATGTTGCAAAAATATAACATGCAAGGAAATGTCAAAAAGTAAAACACTACACCAAAAATGAGCTTTTGCAGCGGCCAAAAAACGCTACAAAAAACATTTTGCAGCGTTTTTCCAAGTGTTGCAAAGGTCAGTGTTTCCGTAGAGGGAAGACTTTTTACAGCGTTCTTTAAATGTTGCGAAAAACTCTTTTGCAGCGTTTTTTCAACGTTGCGGTAGACCCCTTTTGCAGCGTTCTTTCAACGTTGCGGTAGACTTTTTTGCAGCGTTTCTTAAACGTTGCGAAAAACTCTTTTGCAGCGTTTTTTAAACGTTGCGGTAGACCTTTTTATTTTTTTATTTTTTTACAGTTATGGTAATTGAGTAATTGACCCACAAAATTAAAAATAACAATTTGTGAACACATTTTGGAATTGCATAAAAATTGATAATTTCATTCTAAATTTTTGAATCAATACAAAATTCGAATGGCTGACTGAAAGAACAATCAATCTGATGGA